AGCGCGTAAATAAACGCGGTTCGTTCTGACGGCTATACGGGACGAAGCCTTAAAGTTAATTACGATAACGTGCACGCGCGTTCGAGAGTCTTGCATCGCGCCGCTAATATACACGCAGAGAACACGTAGCGTCCACGATATAGCAATTGCGACAGTACTGCCCTGCGCTAAATTACTGCGGGCATTTTTACGAGCCGTTTATGTCTTTTCGGAGAATCGTAACTCGTGACCTGTGTAACAGGCACAGGGATCTACCGTGTTCATCATTGCTGGATCATGGTTTCCATTTATTGTAGAATTTTCTTCGTAGAAATTGTTGTATTTATTTTTGGGGGAGGAGGTTAGGGGGTTGTTCATTATAATTGAGACGTATCTGCTGAAATTTGTAGGAGAATAGGAAGAAGGGAGCTTAAATGGACGGAGTTCAGGGAATTGCTGCTTTACGACTTAATCTTGACAGCGCTTTAACATGACGTTATCCAATGGAGAAGTCGTGAATCATTGTTAAATTTCTCGCAGGTCATCGGTGAATTATTTATGAGTCACTCGTGAATCATCCGTGATTTACTTGTGGGCCATATATGAATTACTTCTGGGTCACCTGTTAATTACTTACAAAAATATATACATATAAACCCAAAACAATCCACACATCAGCATGCAATCACAAAATACATCCAAAAACGCTATCGTCTAACCCTGTTACCTCTTCTCCGCGCTAATTATTCATGACCAAACCGTGCTACCATACTTGCAGCGTGTGTCAGTACTCAATCAACGTCAGAATCGAGACACTATGCGAATCAGTCTCGTATGTTTGCTCTGGCACGCGTTCGTACGCAGCTCGAGCGTTTCCACGAGAGAACGTATGCCGCGTCGAACGCATTAACTTCCTCGTATTCCACTTGGCCGTATCGATTGTTCCCTACATGCGGGTACACGGCCGAGTCGATCCGTAAACAAGCTACTGCAGGTACCAATCAGTGGTGCGGGTGCGAGCGCACATAAATCATGGCTCCCGGGGGATTTCCGGAAAGCCCTCGCCACTAGGGTGTTCGTGTAACTCCTTCGTTTTTCTCTAGGGAGTTTCAGCCGTAATTGGGGCCCAACTGATAAGCGGACCGGACACTCCGTAGGCAGAGGCGGTATTAATAAGAATTTGAACGCGAGATAAGGCTTTACAGACCGTTTGAAGGGAGAGGATAGCGCGAGGATTCCTGGAATTGCTGTAGGGGATCGGAATTCCTCGAACGAAGGGATTTTTAGAGTTAAACATAAGGGTTCGGGGAACGGATAAAGTTTATTCTTAGATTTCTTGGTCGATTTTACTGCTATTTTCTTTCTCTGGAAAGCATTTAACACGTTGGCTGCCAGACTGAAACCCGTGAAAATTTCTACCAAGTTAAAACTTTGTCTCGAAACTAATTGAAAACGATCGTCTGCCCTCTCACTTGACTACGTAAGGGTTACTTCATTTGCATAGTCGCTTCTGCGTTATCACCCGATGAGGGCACCACGTACGCCACTGATGATAAAACGCGCAATACAAAATTTGCCTCGTGAGTCATCGTTTGGATTTCCACGCGAGGCGTTCGTGTTTCCTTTGACCGTTGGCATTCGCTTGCTCCGATCAAACAAAAATGACTCCATCGGCGTTGCACGCGTCCGACATCGGCGACGAATCAATTATGCACCTGAGATTCAGCCGTGGTCGCATTAGTGACTCAAATACCACCATAAATAGTGTCGTAATTGACAGCCACGCGTAGCAACGGAAAACGTATATCATCGTGGGGCAACGTCGCCTCAACGTCGCTTGGAAGAATGCGAGAGCTGTCAATGCAAATTCCAGGTGACCGCGATCGCGCTTTATTTCCTACAAATATTTGACGAATTACTCATTCGCGGACGCAAGCGCCAGCTACGCGTTCGAAAAAGCCGCTGATACGCGGGCAAATAGAGACGGATGAAATTGTAAGTGGCTAGGTTTGGTAGAATTGTGTGATGTATGAATAATTTGGAGTTATACTCGAGTATTCGAACTAATATTATTCATCTATTCAGGCATTCAATTAATGTCTAAATACGTGAGTATTGGAATACTGTTTAAATACTTGAAATACTGTAGCACGCTTAAACATCACCTTACACTATCACGATACACTATAACCCAAATTTTAGAGACATTGAAGTAGCTGCTCCAAGAATTGTCAGACTTGACCCACGTACGAAAGTACCTAGTTTCCACGACGTCGACTCCAGAATCGCGACTTCGCTCAACAGAGTGGAATTCTCAGGTACGAGCGCAGCCAATCCGTGCAAATGAAATCAGGGTCGCGGGGTTATTAGCGCGAAATGAATCAGAGTCGTGCGTGCACGCGGAAAGAATGCGGGAACGACGCGACGCGGGCTAAAGCGTCGTGGCGCGCGTCCTTCGAGACCCGTAGTCGTTTCCTACTATGATCCCTGCTGACTCAGACTACCGCGCCGGCATGATTCTCTGAGTTATTCGTGGCACGAGCACAGACAGCATGGACCGCTCGAATAAATCGCTAAATCCATTCGAACCGTCTCCTCTTCCCAATATCAGACATCCTCTGCATTCTGGATAAAGATAATTATTGGAATTGAAAATCTTTAGGATTTACCAATACTATCCTAATTAATTTTTTCCAACACCTCACTCTCAGAATTCATTTATTTATTTTCCAATGAAAACGCTTGTCACCTATATGTGGATGACATGGCGATCAACGTGTTAAGTAAGAAGTGGAAGGAGCTTGAAATTTAAATCTCACATAATCCCACCCCACCCCCCACCCCACCATCAGTGATATCCGTTTTACTACGTACTCCATCATGTTCATTTTCACGTAATACATAAACTTCGCTGACAGTCTTATCTATGCTCGACAATGAGTCCCTCGATCGAGGAACGTAGGAATGCTTTCAATGAATAATAACGAGCAGGATCAGCGCGTTATCGATCGACGCGAGTTATCGGTTCTTACGTGTACCAGTGTTCTCGGAAATTTAGCAAGATTTTCCTCGGAGAATAGAACTCGCGTTATCGCCGAGCGTTATCATTTTTCCTTTTTTTTCTTCTCTTTTTTCTCGTTTTTTTCTTTTTTTTTTTTTTTTTATCAGAACAGTTTGTCGATGTTCTCGACCTATTCTTATCAGGCCTGGGCGTCCGTACTTTTTCATTCTCAATCGGGGTGACTAAACAGTCGCGTATCGAGCATGGCACCTGAATGATAAGTGTCGCGATAAATAGTCCGATAAGTCGCGCGGTCGACTAACCGATGAATAGCCAAAAACCGTGTCCGTCGGGGGAATACTAATTTCACTGCTCGCACACCTGCCCCTCTATCTCTAAACGGGTCCCCTTAAACTTTTAGGTCGCTCCTCGCCAACTGCTCCATTATTATGCGTACTGGTGCAAATCGTTCTCGAGATTCCCAGATCTTTTTACGAGGTGGAATTCTCTGATTTCGAGTGACATTGTTCAGTTTGTCTCGAGAGTTAAATTTTCTACCATTTTTTAAATAGCAACCCTTGTCTTGACTCTTTTGGCAATTCTCAATTTCAATTTGCTATTCTCAAACCCCCGACCACCGACAGTAATTTTGTATTATAAAAGGGTTTCCTATTAAAAAAAAAAAGCTCACGAGGGTCCCCCAGGAAGGGTGGGAGGGGTGGATCATCGGTCAGAAAATTGAAAGACTGACTCACTACCGATGCTCGCCGCCAGCTCATACGGTTCCATTCTCTTCATCCTCTCCCTCGTTATCCCTTCGTCATTTTTACCCCTGCCGGAGTTCTTTATCCGGGCATCATCGCGTCGCGACGCCTGGCATTGTGCAATCGGCCCGAAACGAATTAAACGTCGCGTCCTGTGCTCCCAGCGTCCACTTTCGGTAGGAATAATAAGAGAAGCGTCGAAAAATAGCTAGGAGGAAGGGTGGAATCGATGATCGTGGGCGAAAAGGAGGACGCGTCGCGACCCCTGGCTCGTTGAACGTTAATTGCAACGATAATTCCGTTTGATCGACGAACTGTGAGGAACGCGATTACTATGGCGGACCTAGAGGAGTCTTGGTAGCGATCGTTCGAAAGGCGAATTTCCTGAACATTGGTTTCGGAGTAATTCTCCATGATCGATGACTTGGGATGAGGTGACGATGGCTGCCCCTCTAATTCAGGGGATTTTTTTATTTACTTTCATAATTAATGGATTGAAATCTAATTTTTTATGGAATTTAATTACAACGCTAAGCTTTAAGTTGGAGGCTCGTACTTACTTTGATAAGTTAGATGTAAATTGAATTTCTATAAAAATTCCTAAATTGTGACACGTTCGGACACAAATGATTTAATTAAAAGAAGGAAAATTAAATCGCACAGTAGTGATAGAAGAAAGGTGAATTACATGAAAAGGCACATTGTATCATCCTACTATTCCATCATAGCACTTATTAAATTATACGACGGTTGCATTTTTCTACTAATCTTTAAAAAAATTAGATACTTTAACATTTCGTTGGCGGCGTGGTATCGTTATTGGCTGGATCGTCGTTCGCATAGAGGGATCGTTGTTCGAGAGAAACGCTGGCCGTGTTTGCGCGATCGCATGAGTCATGGTTGCGTTATAGCTTTGCGAGACGTCGAACGGACTTTCGAGTGGACTTTACGAGTTACACGCTTCGTGATCCACCTTGATACTCGGAGCTTTCGTCTCCTCCTCGAAAGTCTTTTCATTGTGAAACGACGATATTTGTTTACCGGTGCCTGTGCAAATTGAAGCCTCTCCATTAAGGTACATGAATCAGGTGGAAAGAATTTTCTACGATACTTAATTCATAGGATTCAGTTTAAAGGATAATGAAAACAAATGCGTTTACTTGAGAACTCGAGATGATTCAAGTCCATCTTTTCCTTCTATCTTAATGAATTCGAGCAAGACTTCTCTTATCTCATCAGATTCATATATTCCTCTTCTTCTACAGACTATCTCTACAGACTCCTTCTAAAACATTCAAACATACCTCTTCGTTTCATCTCATGAGACATAGTACCATAGTATACATCCAATGTCAGCGCTAGACCTACCATGACAGTCACCTGAACCTCGCGTATATCTCCCTGCTTCACCATTTCCCCTGAAATGATACCCCAGCTCTACAATCTCGTATACGAGTAGCATAATAGTTATGCATTGCCTAGGCAATGTGTTAACAAAACACCAAATAATCCCATCCACGCACGTTCCCATTCCCCCTCATCGTCTAATCCACTTCTGACTCCCTAAAAATGCTCCAGTTTCACGATAGCTGGACCCTGCAAGTCAGCCTGTCGTCCCTCGCCCGCATTTCCAATAAATATTCTACGGAGGACACAAATATTACGTATGCCCGGCGCGTGTTTCTCGTTAAGTGATTCATTCATGCCGGAATCCTTCGTGACGCGTTCCACGCGTGTATCCGTGGACGCTGCTATACGAATTCCCGTCAACAGAAGGACGAATCATTAGGCGAGCTGCGTGGCAGGTGGCTGCTATCGTCTTCCTTGTCCGCATCTCTCATCCGTCGCGTTTCCCTTCGGGAAGCGACGCCACATTACAGAGATGGTAGAAGGGAAATACTTGTACGAACCCGTGCGTCGCTTCTGTTTTCCTGCTTTGTAAACATCGTTTAAACGGTCACTGGGGTGGCGAAGCAGCACGTGTCGGCATCTTCGGGAAACAGGGACTCCCTACAGGCAGCCAACCCTTTTCGATTCAGAGCTTCCTGGCAGCCAATCGCTGGAAATTAATCAGAAGTATTACGACGACGGTGTAAAACGACACCTGCGACTGGGGCAGCGAACCCTAGGTAGAACAGGTCGGGGGAGTGGTTGAGACTTGCTTCAAAGGGGGTAGGTTGGAATTTTGGGGGATTCGTTCGAGTATCAATTTATTGGGATGTTTGGGATTACTAGAGGGGGGGGGGGGGGGGGATTTGGAGTCTGGATGGCTTGGAGAGGTATTGTTTGGGACTTCTTGTATTCCTCGTATATTTAAATTCAGGTGATTTTTAAAAGTACAGTGGTCAGGTGTTTCGAATCCTTGTAATTTCCGTTTCCAATTTCTGTTTTTTTTTTATTTTTACTTATAAAGGATGCACTAGTCCAAAATTAATTTAGGTACATCAATCTCACTTAAAAAAGGATAACGTCGTTTAGCGTAGGCTCGTTACCACTCGCAGCAGGGGGGATCGAAGTGAAATGGAGCACCGTGTAACTTCGCAAAGATCGATGAGTCACTGTATTTAAGGACACGGCTCGTTTCCCCATTTTCCATCGCGTCAGTGAGTCACCAAATGTTGAACAAAGATTAATCAGAGATTAACGGGAGATCCGTATTATCGGAGGCGTCAACGTATAAACAATTTTTATCGCTAAATAATGGGTCGCCCGACTGAGCGACGCTATTATTGCAAACCGCGAAAAAAAATGCGAAAGAGCATGACTAACGCCAGAGATAAATGTAGAAATATCGCGGCGCTTGGAAAACCGCGTATCGATAACGAGTGTTTCGTTAAAAAAAACGCCAACGACGCTCGTGGCATTCTATCGCCCTTTGGATCGATTCGCAATCTCGCGTATCGATTCGTCACGTTGAGAATTACTTGACAGACAGGTGTTGTAAATAATTTGTCGAAGGAAAGGGAGCGTAAGAAATTAAATAATGGAGAAGATAATTTCGAGGGAAAAGGGTTGAGTAACTGAACTCCAGATTCATTCTTCTCGCGCACCAATAATCAAATGTATTCTTTAAATAGCCATGATCAATTCTAAATTATGTTTCCCTGTAGAATAAACGTTCCTGAATTGTTGTTATTGCAGTCACACTTTCCTGTCTTCTATCGTGGCTAATTTAATAATACTAGAATGTATCGTTTAATTCCTGCTCGCAATACAGGAGAATTTATCGTTCGTTAAGTAGTTTATTAATATGTGTCCCGCGAATGAAATTGGCACCGTTAGGCGTGCGGGACATAAAACATTCGAAACAACAGCGCGACAGGAAATTGTTTCCTGCGCTGCCAACCAGTTTCGAGTCATTGTCGCGCTGACCATAAACACTCCTAACTAGACAGATTTACATTGCAGCGGCGTGTAAACTACAATGTTAACCGCCAGTTAGCATTCTGGCACGCTTCTAATCCCCTTCGGTCAGGAATCCTGTAACTTTCCTGTTATAAAAAAGTCTTCGACGTTCGAAGTTTATTCATAGCATTCGAGTGCTCCAATATCTAAAGTTTACTCCTACTATTCGATCGTCCACAAAATCTTAGTTGTACGTGCAAGTGACTCATGTATTACCAGCATCTAGGATTATAGTTAATTTCGAACAAGTTTAAACTTGAATCACATACGCGGACCATCAAAGAGGCCGTCTGGGGACCTACACTAAACAATACAGCCTCGAAAGCTTGCCAGAAATCCGCGACACGCGGCGAGACGTAGGAGATCCTCGATGTTTCTCTGAACTGGTAGCTAATGTACGCATACTCGCATAAATTTCAGCTTGAATCATGCGCATGATCCGTTAAAGGAGTCTCGAAAGCTAGTAAACAAAAGCGCGCGTGGATTGCGCGCGAGCACGCGGTTGTTAGCGTAATTCAGGGTCGCGTAGAGCTCTGCCAGTGACTCATTCCTAACCGCATTGAGCATCGATATCAACTTTTACGTCTCGGTGTTCCTACCCCGGCTCTATTCTACGCCGCGAAACGAAACTTTTGCGTTTCCGGCAGATAACCAAGCAGACCCATTAAAATTACGATTAATCAATCTTGAAAGCGAAAGTTTGCTTCCTCGTTCAAACTCGTACTGGCTTCGTTCAAGGTTCATTAGTGGAGTATTTCTTTTGGAATTCGGTATAATAATATAATTAATATATTTTGTTGGTGTATGTATACTTTATGCTTTAGTGTAGAAAATGTTCCATTTGTAATAATTTGGCTGTGTTTAGATTTTTATTGTTCAAAGTACACAGTTTGATATACGTTTTTTTTTATTCTTTTCTGTCACATATTGGTCATAAGATTCCCATGGAGGGTTACAAAACATGCATCATGTCTGTGGTCGTCTAGATCGCGATGCTATCGATGAACTTTATTCGACGCCCAGCGTCTAGAATGAATCATTGCGACTCGCGTAACGACAGACTCGGAGCAAAGTTGTATCTCGCGGTCTGTTTACGATTTGATTCACGTCGATTTCGTCGCGAACCAAGTATAGTCAGAAATTTTGCGACAAATTAATAAAAGTGGTTTAATTTTTATACAATCGAAAAGGCAATTAATGAATGTTTCTTTTCTATAAATTTTAACAAGTGAACAAGTTTACATTTCAAGTTTAATAATTATTTTAAAAAATGAGCAAAAATTCATATCTAAATTCCAAATTCATAGATATCGTGTCTATTTTAAATTCTCTGCTCTTGATCTTCGCCATCAATCGTGAATTCGCGTCTCGATTCGCGATTCGCTCTCGTTGGTTGCAGCCGAGCTGGAATGCGCGCAATAAGGCGTGATTAATCCGTCATTAAGGATTCACTGTACGCGCCGCAGTGTTTTCGTTCCATTATGTGCGTTCATTGCTAGGATTCTTCGAATAGATTGAAACTATCTGTGCACGGTGGAGTCATAATACAGCGCTCAATGTAATGAGGCAATCAATATTTTGAAAGCTCCCGGTGTTACGTGTCATCCTCTCTTATTAAATGCAAGGCGTTGATTCGCGTGCCTGATATTTGGTTGATTCATCGAGTGATTATTGCGAGCAGTGCAAAATATAGCTACTCCTTTCAATTTTCACTAATAGGCTCGGTGTCTTTCCACAAACTTCGAGATAACAGCTCGAGTTGTTTTATACCGACGGCATGATTTTTCTATGAAATAGTGATCGAATCCACAGAGGAATGAAATATCTAAACAATGTTATAAATTCTGCAAATCTCGTAAGCACCATCTTCGAGCCACGCGAACGATCTTCGTAATCACGGAGATCATCCGTAATCATGGACCGAGGAACCATAAGAGGCGTATCATGCAAAGTCCCTCCTTGATCTAGTCCACTTCTCAAGATGATCTCGACCCCTCCGAGTGACTAATCTAGAATTTTAACCCCGTCCGCTGACTAATCCCACGAATTAACCAAACACCGTGACGTCTTAACGCAAACACGAGATGGGAAGCGTTATTTCATACCATTCTCCAGAATTTTTGATCATCTCTGGCCAATGACATCACGCTCGCGAATAATCTCTGGACGGATCACCTGCTCCAGCTCGCGATGACTCCTTTTCCTCGCCACGATGACAATAACGTTGCAGGCCTTGAGGGATCTCGGAACACCCGCGAGAAGGAGGCTCGCGGTTGTAATAAGCGTTTCTCTCTAAACGTTAGTCATTTTGGCCTTGAAGGGATTTCCAGCCAGTCGAATTGAATCACTCACTATATTGATAAACAGATGAATGCTCCTAGATGCACTTAGCCATTTGTAGAACCTTTAATAAACTAGGGGCAAAAAACGTCTGGAGACCTCGGCATCCTCATAATGGCGTCTATGTCAAGCTTCGACTGAATGCATATATACAAAGTACGAAGGTGGATTCAATAAACCAATATCCTACTTGTGGTGGTTGTGTCAGTTTTGAGTTTTATTTGAATGTAGAGAGAAAGGATTACTCGAGAAATCTGCGAAGCGTCTTGAACCGCCTGGAGACTTCGATGCCAGAGTGGCTGGCTCTCTTTCCCGATAATTCGGATCCTTCATGCGCTTGATTCACTTCCATGGCGAAACATCTGGAGCCCTCAGCCCCCTTATATTCTCATATACAGCAATTTCAAACAATGAACCAAGGGAAAGTACAATTGGGTGCTTTATGCATATCACAACCATGGTTGTTTTTGACTCTTCTCTGGTTACGAGCACGACTGTCTTTCGTCAAACGCATAGATCAGTGCTCGAAGGTCCAACACTAAAAGCTTGTCAGTCAAAACTGACGATCATTACCCAAGCTCTATCTCGTCAAGTCTTGAAGGTTCTATATTAATTTGAAACTTGGCTCCAAGTTTCAGCCACTCTAGCTCGGAGATGTGACGCAATAGACACCCCTATACTTGACAATCTCATTACGAAGTTCGACTTTGCATCTTAAGATGACGAATCTGCCGATTCTGCCTAATGAAGTATTGCACTCTCTAACCAGGAAACCGTCACGCTATCGAGAAAAGCTTCAGTCGATGACGAACGTTTCTCCATAACGCGACCGCAGGAAATCCAAGATCTCGATTAGAAAAAGAACAATCACATTCTATTCGACGTAATTGGTGGCTTGAGATTGTAACATTCTCATGCTTATGAGATAATTCGCGAATCGGAATTCCCTTACGCCCAATAAGCCGCAGATACTCGTACCAAGAACTAATATATCATTTAAATACTTTTATTAAGATGGTATTGTTCTTCAGCTGGAAATGAAGTTTAAAAATTAGGTACTTGGTCAATACACGAAATATACGAATACTTCAGTATTCAAATGGAACACCAGTAGTCACTTATTCGAATAATACTCAAGTGTTCGAGCAGTTCGAACTAGTATTTATTCAACGGAGAAGAGAAATGCTCTTTCGAGGAATGGGACACGGAAGATTGGAGCCCAGTGGTGCGTTCGCAACGAAGATTTCTCCGCGTTTTCTCCGATCCGTGAAGTTGTCGCGTCGTGGAAATTTCCCTGTCGCGTGCAACAGTTTCGCGAGTGCTAAAGCAGTGCGATAAGCCGTAAAATTAGACGCGTGTTTGTGGGCAAATTGCGTAACGCTCTTCGGCAGGTTCTCTGCACTACGAATGCAGATGCGTGAATCATTGCGTTTCGAGAGACGCATAATGCCTCGATTTATTTTCGTTCCCAGCAAAACTAAACCTTTGCTTTTTTTTTGGAGTCGAGGGCTCGTCACGACCGAAATTTTTCTTAGTGATCGAATGTAAATTGAAAACATAAGCCTGCATCTTTATTTCGAAGTGCACACTTTTGGATGCTTGTTTGTCGGTGGAATTCAAAGAAATTGGAAACCGAAGAACGTTGACAAACGTTAACGAGTGAGTCGTTGCGAGTCAGCCTTAAAGGTCACGGTTGAATCTAACAATTGAATCGCACTCATTTCGATTCAAGGTGCTCTAAATGTAATGGAAATTTAGCATACCGCAATAATTAGTTTGAAATGGACTAAAATAATGTTGGCTGCTCTTTAGAGAATAAATATAGGAAGAAATAATTAACAAAAGGTGAATATACCCAATATCTTATAATACAGGAACCATGTTTAAAGTGTCAGCCTCACTATCCTCGAGGAATCGAGACTCAGACCTTATAAACTCAATCCCATTCCGTCATTAACGTATAACTAAAAAGGAAGATTGCTAATTCGCTCTAAAAAATCTTATTTCTATTCTACCGTTCCCAACAATAGATACTCCGCTCCTAAAGCTTCGAGATTCGGTCTGAACAGACTTGGTCGCCCCTCGATCGCC